TGTGACTTCTGGCTAGACAACAAACTCAAACGACTGATCTGGGAATACATTAGACATGAATTGCAACGCGCATTGAAGACTATTTAGAGAAATGACTTTAAGAACTGTTTCAAGGGTTAAAAAAAGTTGGAACAAGTGTATTGGSGCCAAGGGGGATTATTTTGAGCAAGACGACATAGATTTTGAAGAATAAATTGAAAATTGAGAATTATGAACAAAGTCTTGAATATTTTTTGCTCATATTAGTACCTATATTGTTGTAACATTTTGGTAGCAGTTCCGCTATTAATTCCAGATGCTGCGTTTTGTACGCAAAAGCGGATTTCGTCAAACTGCAATAAGTAAGTTATTGCCTACAACCGTGTAAGTGTCCTTTACTCCATCTGTGATTCGTTTCATCAGCTCGGCACGTAATACATTTAAATAAGTTTCGCCAAATTTGTGGCTGCGCATAAATGTCGTTACCACAACCGGAATACTAGTGTTGGGTTGAAACACGATGTGTGCCCAATTACCCAAATGCTCATCATACTATCACTCAAAATGCAGTACTAATGCAATAATTTTCCTCTCTCCATGGATATAATGCTTACCGAATTTAGTTTACCCTAGCCTTCCTTCGTTGTGTTTTACTCAAAACTCTAACTACAAAAAAGTCAACAAAGTCCCAGCTCTAAATTTATTTGTTATACAATTGCCTACAATTTGAAAACACTTTACTTATCCACTTTTGTTATATACACAGCCTTAGACGTTTACTTCTCACAAAATCAAGCATTCCAAGCATTTTATCTTCAGCATCGAGAATTTTACTGAAAGCACTGCACTGTATTTGGAACTAAGCTAATCAGAACATTGGCAAAATGTGAGTACCAGTATTCCGAGCTCATTTATATATGCTTAGCTAAGGCTTAGGCGATTTTATTGCGAAAGTTCAGTTCCACATATTTTCTCTAACTGTTTCATTAAGTAGTTAGCTATTTAAAACTAAAGAGCGTTTATGGATCTGAGCGCATTCTACAAAACGTAGTGGATGTAATAAAATGTTGAGTTCAAGTTTTGTTAAGTGTTGACAACAACAAACAAACAAAACAAGAAAAAACGTTAACTTCGGCTGCACCGAAGCTAATATACCCTCACAGGTGCATTTCTTTTAGTAACTTTGGTTCAGTTTGTATGGAAGCTATATGCTATAGTAATCCGWTCTGAACAATATGTTCGTATATTAAATTATTATGTTAGAAAATAACCTRTGCCAACTTGTGTGAAGATACATTGCCAAATGTGAAAGTTTTTCATACAAGAACTTGATTCCGATCGTACAGTTTGTACGGCAGCTATATGTTATAATGGTCCGATATCGGCAGTTCGGACAAACGTGCATCTTTTTGAAGAGAAAATGACTTTTGCAAGATTGAGATTATATATACAGACAGACGGACATGGCTAAATCAACTCAGCTCAACATACTGATCATTTACATATATACTTTATAGGGTTTCCGACGAGAGAGACAGACAGACAGAAATTGTAAACATAATTCTTATAGAGAATTAAAGAAGTAAATCAACTTCCAAAGTTATATGTGTACAATAAATAAGACTTTCAGTCTTAATAATAATAATATATTACATCCAACATCCTGTAACAAGTATTAGAAGCTCTGTGGTATTAAAAACGAATGAGGACAAAGGATTGACCACAGCATTACATATTTACATTACATGTACATTAGGGTGTCCGTTGTTTAAAATTTTTTCTTTCTTTTTGTAAACGATCCCTGAACTTTTAGTTTATGCCCTTCAAATAAGGATCCAATGTAAAAAAGCCCTTTATTTCCAAAACAAACTGTGCAGAAATCATATTTATTTCACATGCATGTAATAATGGATGTTTTGATATTTTACATTAAATATATTACTTTGAAAAATTGTCTAATACATATAAAAATTTACGTCCTACAAAACTTTAAGTGCGTATTACCTTTAAGGGAACCTTTTTATGGTGCATGTTTATGAATATATTTTTGATGCTTAATCGGAACTGCATATTACTTTTAAAGGAACTTTTTAGAGATTTTTGTATTAGTTTAGGAAGTTTTTAAAGTTGTAGATCTCTTTGCTCTGG